AGGATCTCCCAGGGTTTGAGCGGTGAAGGTGTGGAGGTCATAGTGGAACGATGGAGAAAAGCTAGTAAGTTAAGTTCTCCCCAGAGTATTTGAGCATTTGTCCTATAAACACACCTCTCGAAGCTGCAAGACTGGTAAGGAAATCTGACCTGAGTAAACTGAGGACTGGTATAAGTGAGTAAATAGGACAGAGGACCTTTTAGAATGGGGGGAATTATCAGTGAGAAGATAATTTTCTGAGGCCTAGATGAAGGAAACAAGGAAAATAGGAGCAGAAATGTGTCGTGGAGGCTACCCCGTAGGAGACAGCGATCAAAATGCAATGAAAATTAAAAAATATAGACTATTAACTCGAACAGCTTCCCAACTCAGTTATCTTGTGGTGAACTAGAAAGAACCCTGGATGGAAAGTCAGAAAAACTGGTTCTGAGTCCCAGAATTCACCACATTCTGTGTGATCATGGGCAAATGACCATTTCTCTGAGCCTTAATGTTCTAATAATAAAATTAAATAAATTAAAATAAAATAAGCCTGTTAGCATACTAGTATTTAATGCTGAATGAGTACATTTGGCTAACTGAATGATTGGGTAATAATTGTATTGCAAAGTGGTCTACACTCTCTAAAGTGCTATAAATGAGGTGAATTGGGGTTATAATTATTGTTTGTTTATTATAGGGCCTTCACTGCCTGGCATCCAGCATAGCCGAATTGAATCAATGGCCAGTAAAAATAATGTGACTGAGTTAATTCTCACTGGCCTTTTCCAGGATCAAGGGGTTCAGAGAGTGTGCTTTGTGGTGTTTCTTCCTGTGTACCTGGCCACGGTGGTAGGCAATGGCCTCATCGTTCTGACAGTCGGCATCAGTGACAGTCTGAATTCCCCCATGTACTTTTTCCTCAGCTGCCTGTCCTTGATGGAGGTCAGTTACTCCTCTACTGTTGTCCCTAAATTCATCACAGACCTACTTGCCAAAATTAAAACCATCACCCTGGAGGGCTGTTTGGCTCAGATATTTTTCTTCCACTTCTTTGGGGTCACTGAGATCCTCCTGCTCACAGTGATGGCCTATGACCGCTATGTGGCCATCTGCAAACCCCTTTACTACACAGCCAACATGAGCCGGCCTGTGTGTCATCTTCTGGTGGCTGGTTCTTGGCTGGGAGGCATAATTCACTCTATGGTTCAGATCCTTGTCACTGTCCAGTTGCCCTTCTGTGGTCCCAATGTGATTGACCACTACTTCTGGGACCTCCATCCCTTACTCAAGATGGCCTGCATCAACACCTTTGTGGAGGGAGTTATTGTGTTGGCCAACAGTGGGTTAATCTCTGTCTTCTCCTTCCTCATCTTGGTGTCCTCCTATATTGTCATCCTGGTTAACCAGAGGAACCATTCTGCAGAGGGGAGACGCAAAGCCCTCTCTACCTGTGCCTCTCACATCACGGTGGTCATCTTGTTCTTTGGACCTGCCATCTTCCTCTACATGCGGCCTTCATCCACCTTCACTGAGGACAAACTTGTGGCTGTGTTCTACACGGTCATCACCCCCATGCTGAACCCCATCATCTATATACTCAGAAATGCAGAGGTGAAAATCGCCATGAGGAGGTTATGGGGCAAGAAAGTTAACTCAGGGGTGGAATAAAAATAAAAACATAAAAAAACAATGAGCATGAACAGGGTAGTAGTATGAAAAAGTTAACCTATTTATGTTTTGTTGTATTTTAGATGAACTGCTTATACTCCATGGTATCAGTTCAAGTTCTCTCACAGCTGCTAGTATGTTCAAGTTCTCTCACAGCTGTCTCACAGCTGCTAGTATTTTGGAGAATGTAGAAAACTGAGCTACTGTCCTTATCTTCTTCCACAGTCCGTAGTGCAGTGTGCAGACTTTAGGGATGGATCACCCAGACTGAAATCCCCACCCTGTCACTCATCAGCTGTGTGACCTTGGATTTATTCACTTCACCTCTTGGTGTTAGCAAATGATATGTGGAAAGATAATGGCATTTGGAGACAAAAGTTCATTTTTTGCTTTGTCCTTCCTTGTTAGTGTAACCTTCAGGGAGTCCCAGGAAGGCTTTTCTACTTTATTTGTTGCCCCCCAACTCATTAACCTGATTCTAATGCTTGAAATTCCATGGTAGGAGCTTTTGTTCATGAGAGAGAAAGACATTATTAGAATGTCAATGTCTCTGGGAGGTGAAATATAAGCTATTATTATTAACCTTTGAATCATAATCTGAATAATTTTATAAGACCCTTGTCTTTCTAGACAGTTATTATCTGAGCACTGAGGTTTAGATAGTTATCTGAGCACTGAGGTAAGGAGAGTGGTGCAGTTAGGAATACATTTGGTTATAAGTATGATACAGTCTGTTGAATAACGGCCTAAGGCAAACCCAGCTCACTGTTTTCATAGGGACTATAAGTTACGAATGGTTTTTACATGTTTAANGAATTCAGGGTTGCCCTATATTCCTCAGCAGTAGAGTGAACTGAGAAAGGAAGGGTCTAAGGAACAGTTTTCTGGCTGAGCTGTGCAGGTTGGATGGGGCGGGCACATCTGGAGATGGAGGCTTTGGGAATTTAGGCATCAGCTGACAGATGGTGAGAAGGGAAAGGCATCAGAAATGCGGAGAAAAGTAAAATTAATGGGATGTGATTACTGACTGGATATGGGAATGAAAGGAGGCATGAATCAAATATGACACTGAAGCTACAAGCCTGGGCAGCTTGGAGGGAGACGGTGTAATCGACATGTCGTCAGGTCACACTTGCCTGTTGGTCTTGTGACTTCAGAGCTTAGTCCCATCAGCAGCAACCCCTGAGATAATGCTGTGGTCTCTTTCTCTACCACTTTTCTTACTCTAGAATAGTCCTTTCTAAGTTTTTTTTTTTTTTTTTTTAAAGTTCAGTGACCATATTTGGTCTTAAACTTCAGCACGTGTCCTTACCTGAGGAATTTTGATGCACACTGATTTATTTCCATCGGTTCATATCACTGACTTTTGTTTTCTCTGTTAATTCTGTTCCTTGCCGTTTGGGGTGCATTTTTAGTCCTTCAAAAGTATATTTTAAAAAAATTTCAGTAGGAAATCAGAGAAAAGAAAAAAAGCCAAGGAGATAAATTTTATAGCAGAGAATTGAAGTGTCTATATTTCTTCCTCCTTATTTCTCATGGATCATATGTGGTGAAAAAAACCCTAATGGGGCATCTCCAACTAGAGAATATTGTTTTGAATCATGTGATATTGCTGGCTTGAGGTATGTATTGTGATCTAT